AAGTGCTGTAACATTGTAGAAGCATACTTTTCACCTAGGTTAATACAGTGCGCTCTTCCCTACAGTGTCTGAGCCTTTCCAGACAGAAATGCAAGACTGGTTTTGGGGAAGGGTTCATTATGCCTAATGGCAAGCAGTTGAGCAATATGCTGCAAAATACATATGGGTTGAGTTTTTCTTCTCCTTTCACAGGTCAGATAGTCCTGAAATACCTGCACAGCTGACAGCCATGCAACATTTTATGAGTTTTCTTGCCCAGTAAATGCAGGCAGATGTTGTAGGATTTAGAACCTTACAAGGCACTGGAGTATAGCTGGTGGGAGGTAATTTTGATGAGTGCTTAACCTCTCACTAAAAAAGTAGCAGCTTGGAGAAGGCAATATTTACTGCAGGAAACATTAGCTTGTCAAAGAGCTAAAGCACTGCAAAGAACCTTTCTGAACAACACGCAAGTCTTCAGCCAGATGTTCTTCATAGCGTAGAGTAATGCACACTCTTCTGGGAGTTAAACTAAGGCCTTTCCTTGCATCACTCACAGTCAACATTGTTTTCTGTAGGAAAACAGCTTGCTAATGTAAGAATACACAAGCCATTATATGCAAGCTTGTAAAATACCATGCAGTTCAGCTGAACCCTGTAGGCATTTATTTTATTAGTGCTAAGTGATCAAATAATCCTTTGAGAGAACTCTTCCCTGGAACCACTGTGAATGTGTTTCATCTACAAGTTAGAGGAAACGCTTGGATCTAAGCTTCACTGTTCTACGTCAAGCCTATTCAGAAGTGCCCATGGTAGCCACCCCCTGAATGCCCTCATCTCAGTCCAGTGTTCCCTCTTTGGAGTGGTCATGGACTCACAATTGCTGCTGGCAATTGTGAGCTGTGATAAATGCCCTGCTCTTCACCTGTGTGAAACCTGGCTATCTCCTCCTCTGATTGTTGAGTATTTTGGTGAATACTGGATGTTCAAACCAAATATAGCAACTTACCCTCTTTTGAGCAGTACAGGAGACTTGGAGAACTCCTCCCTGATGTTGGGGCCCCTAGCTGCATGAACTTCAAGGACACAAACCTGATTTTCAAAGTTTCCAAAGCTTCCTCTGATACTGATTTGAACTATACCACAGGCCCATCCCATCACTGTAATCATAACTCCCTAAGACACCAATATCCTTTTTTTAGCAATGCCAGAGCTTGGTTCTGAAGATACTGAACATAACTGTAAGTATTTCCTTAGTTTTTGAATGTGCTCTTAGCTGGGAAGAGGGGGAAGAAATGTAGCCTGTTGTTGCAGTGACTGAAAGAGAGGGAGAAACTGAGAAGAAGGAAAGGCTGGCATGAAAGTTTTTGCAGGAGCACAGTCCAGATCACGCAGCATTGAAATCATCATTGACTGTGGCATAGATTTTTAAAATACTTGAATTAAAAAGGGAATGAGGGGAAAATAGCAAATGAAATCCATCTGTGAGAACAGGAACATACCATCAATCAGCTCACAAAGAGTTTCTCTATACGTGTTGCCCTTGGACATCCATACAGAGAAGGGCCACATCTACTTATCAAGGAAAAGTCATGACACTGAATATGTGTAGCATATGCATGCCTTTTATGCGGTATCTTTTCATGCAAGTGTGTTTGTGATATACATACTTTACAGGAACATTTACAGTACCATACATCTGAAGAGCTATTCTACTCTAGAGTCCAGATTGTTTTATTACCAGCTAAATGTTCTTTAAGCTACCTGTGAATGAAGGCATTGTGACATTTAGCAACTGGTTTGATTGAATACAGATGTGAACCATATTCCAGATGGAGAAGATCCAAAGGGAGAGATCCTCGGCTTGTTTCTGATTTGGAAGTAGAAGTTTGAATGCAATTACTTGATGTTGAGCTAGCAAGATAGAAACAAATCACTTGCTTGCAGATCTACAGTATTGCAAATGTAAAATCAGCTGTAGTTTGAGATAGTGTGCTGTCCTCAGAGGTCAGGGGAAAAAGCCAATATATATGAAAGCAAAAGTCCTATAGAAGTGTGCAGTATCCACTCAGAAACGGGAGGGGGCCAGGCATTCATGAACATTCCTTACCGAGAGGTTTCCTAGGAGTGTCTCATTCTGCATAAGTAGTGCTTTCTAATGTCATTTCAGTCTATCTCTGAATATTACAGGAAGTGCTGTGACCAGGTTGGACAGAGCATTGGGTGACATGGTTTAGTGTGAGGTGTCCCTGCCCATGGCAGGGGGGCTGGAACTTGATGATCTTAAGGTCCTTTCCATCCCTGACTATTCTATGACCAGGGAAAGCCCTTAAAAAAAAATGGTTACATGGGGACAGGGCTAAATTGATAATGCCAGAATGCAGGGTCTGTTGATAATTTTATAGTGTTTAAGTGTCAGATTTACTGATGCAAAACTGAAATTGCACTAGGCAGAATTACTCCTATTGTGGAAATCATAGAATCATCGGGTGGCTTGGGTTAGAAGGGACCTTAAAGCTCATCTAGTTCCCTGCCACAGGCAGGGACATCTGCAACTAGACCAGGCTGCTCCAAGCCCTCTCCAACCTGCCCTTGAATACTGCTAGGGATGGGGCAGCCACAGCTTCTCTTGGCACCCTGTACCAGCACCTCACCACCTCACAGTAAATGTTTATTTGTTATCAACAACTTGGGGAGGAAAAGCATTTGGGGCAGGTTCTGATATGTGTTTTGAACTGCTGAATTCTACAAGGCTGCTCACTGCTCAAAGAAACTGTAACAAGCTGACCTCTTTCTCTGCTCATGAGGAGCAGTTGTGTTTGATCTCAGTTTAGCCCAGCTAAAATGGTAAAAATATATTCTCTAAAACCAGTGTAAAATCCACTACTTAAGGTGTAGTCACAGTGGACTGTGGGAAGCTATGGAGCATGAGTTGTTCCCCATCACCTCAACCCTTCTGTTTCTACCCTCCTCCCTGCTCACATTCCTGCCCTGTTTGTGCATGGACACATTTGCTCTTCATGGCTAAGTTCACTTCAGTTGTGCAGATCTCTCCTTTTTGTACTTCTCTCTGATTGTTTGGAAAACAGGAGGCTATGGTATCGTGCAGGTAACACAGCAATAAACTTGTTCTCATCACAGTTTACACATAAAGCATGAGTCCCTCGAGGTAACTCATCCCCCTCTTGACAGCTTTAATAAAGGATGATGGATTGTTTAAATGACAGTTAGATCAAAAATTCCCCTTGTATTCTTTTGAGATCTGGTGTAAAAGAGCTGTTCTGTGTTCTGTGAAAGTTGTTTTCGCCTGTAAGCACAGGGGCTCTATTACTTCCCTTCACAGTGGTGAGAAGTGCTTAGTTACCACAGGAATATATTCATCCTGCCACATACTCATGACATCTTGAAAAACTGCAGAAATTAAAGCCTAGCATGGGTGGGAGGTGGGGAAGTGCCAATAGCTGAATGCGTGGCTGTCTTTGGGATGCTGCTCTGGCCAGGCTCCCCATATGGGTTGTGGGGAGGAGGAGGGATTGTATACTGATCCACCCAGAACTGCCTCCAAAGGATGATACATCACCTGAACCCGCCTGCCCAGCATGTGCAGGGGACTTGGGAGACCCCAAGTGCCTGTCAGTCACCTGCGCCCTCTTTTCCCTCTCTCTGCCCTTTTCTTTTTAAGGACCGCATGTGGCAGCCAGTTAGTTCTGGAGGGCAGAGTCCTCCCTCTTATTTCTTTTTGGCTTGAGATTTATTTCCCAGGGCATGTGCTTTGTAGCTGCACTTGGCAGAGTGGAGTTTGTTCAGCTGTCCATTCCCTAGCTAAGCTGGCGTCTTAAAATAAAAACAAGCAAGTGGATTTGGGGAGAAAGGTTGCCGCATGAAAACATGCAGAATGTCATATGGTTAAAGCAGCACTGCTCAAAGTCATTCATATGATAAGAAACCAGATAAGAAAAAAAAAGCTGAGTGCCTGATTAGATCTTGTTCTTAAGGTGCATCGAGGTGACAAAATGAAGCTCAGATGGCCACGAAGCACCAAAATCATACCTCTTTCACTGCAGAAGTAGTGGGGCTGAGTGCTCTTTGGAGTCGCTTTCCATTATGATAGAATACGACGTAGTCCAGTTTCTGCCTCCTGCGTATGAACAAGCCAGCCTTTGGAGCAAGCACTGTTGCAAAACACTGGAAGAAGACTTTTGGTATAAATTCTCATCAAACCACACGAACTCCAGAGGAAGTTCCCTACCCATGTGAAATGGAAAATTTTGAAATAGAAAGTGGCAGAGACTGAAGTTAAATCAAGGCTAGAACTTGCCAGGGGTGCAGTATCGAGGGGATGGGAAACTTGCAGCTCTCCTACCGCTTTCCTGATGGGAAGTAAAGGAGGACTGTACCTGTAGATCTTCTCTGAACCTTTAATTCTCCACCCATAAAATTTTTTAGTTAATCTGTCATCCAGCTCAGGAGGCTAGGCTGGACATAACCTGCTTTGTTTGGAACTGAACTATGTAAAACTCACATGCCCATCCTTTCTCTTCCTGATGTTCCAGGATGAAGCAATGGTTTTTCTCCTTCCTGTCCCACCAATATTGTTCTTACATTTGGGCTATCAACACCAGGACATAAGGACAAATTCCAGGACATACCTGGAATCAGAGTGTGCATGGTTCTATACATACTCTGACGGAGTTTCCTGCAGAAGATGATAAAAAATACTCTCATTACTTACTGGAAAAAGAACTAAATAAATTTTAAATTTGGGTTGAATCCTTGTTTTTCAGCTTTGTTTCCTAGTTTTGTGTTTGGTTTAGTATATATAATGGTTGTCTTTGAATGCCTTTCAGTTAGCAGACTCCAGTAATAGCCAAAAGTCTTTACAGCCTGCAATTGTTAAGATTTGTGATATACTTTCTTCTACTGAGCCAGTACTTTACTTCCTGTTGGAAATTATTTGTATTAATATATCCTGTTATTTTGATTGCTGGTGTGTTTTATGACCATGATTTTCTTTCCCTTAGGCACTACAGGGATTTACCAGGGAGCTAATGGCCTGACAAATTCTGCAGGATTCAGTGCTGTGCACCAGGTATTGTTCAGCATTTAGTATTGGCAACCTTGGCACTTATTCTAAACACCTGGAATATTGGTAGATCACAAAGATTATTCTGGTGTTTACATATATTTAAGGAAGGCATTGCCCTGCATTCTGCTGAACACCATTCTGCTCTACTCCTCTGGCCTGTCCAGGACTTCTAGATATCTTAATTAATTTTAAGACGTGTATATACATAGAGTTCAGTCCTTGCAGGAGGAGGATGCCCTGGCAATCTCTGCCATGCTGCTGTAGCAATGCCAAAAGTTTCATCATTCCTCTGCCATCTTACAACTTTAAGCTATGTTTTCCATCCTCTATAGAGAGCTTTGCTTCCAGGATCCTGTTGTCTGCTGTCTTGGCACTGTGTAATACATATGAACAATTTGAAAGAGTGTTGGCAGGCCCTGATGAATATTGAGCCATCTGAGCTGCCTGTGTGCTTCCTTCTTTGAGAATACACCTGTCTATGGGCTTCATGCTTCAGATACCTTGATAAATGTGTGTGTATAAATAAACAGCGTGCGTATATACACAAGACAGATGTTTTTCAGTAGCAAATGGCTGGTTTTGATTGGACCAAACAAATGAGTACACTGTCCCAGAAAATGTGTTTTGGTTGCCAGTAATTTCAATTCCTTTTTTGGAAGGTGATGGTTGACTTGTATTTTTAATTACAACAGTGGGCAAGATCTTTATTACTTCAGTTTTGGCTAAAAACATCAGCATCTGCTGATAGAAGTGCATGTGATTGAAGTATGGAGGTTACCTAAAAAGGGGAAAAATAATTGGGCTGTTTTCATTGTTTTGTTATGTTCCTTAAGAGAAAACAATGAAATTCTCTCATTTCTTTTTCAGTTTAATCACTCTTATGACAACTTGAGTCTTTATTCTTGAGAGCTCCCTGGTGACTGAAAGTTAATGAAATAGCTGTCACTGACAAGATGTAAGCTGTTAAGGAGGAAAGTGCTTTTAGTCTTTCTAAAGACTATTTATTATTTAGTTTTATTTAATACCAGAGACTAGTTAGCATTTTTGAGGAAATAAAAACCTTTTGCTGAAAGACAGTCCCTAGAGAACGAACACAGTTCTCTATCTGAAAAAGCAAATAGGTGGACAAGAGCAAGAGTCGCAGTTAAAACCAAACAAGTAAAACTTTTTATGTTTTAATTGTCCAGTGAGTTTCTAATCTATTTTTCTCATTAAAAAAAAAAAATAATCTATATGAGGATGGACTAAAGTTTGTTTGAGAGGCTTAAAATAAAGCCAGAGGGATCTGTGATACCTCAGCTCCCCAAGGTCACTTCCACCTTGTAGTTTTAGTTATTTTTCTTTAGGTAGAAAAGACCATTCAGGCATTTCGTTATTGCTGAGATAGTTGGACAATCTCAACTGTGAACATTGCTGCAAAACAGTTGCAACTTTTTTTTTCTTCATTTTTGTAACCTATTCTAATGTCTGATCAAGAAATGTTGCTGATCATAGGAAAACGCAGACATTTTTGCTCCTTCTCTTACCCAGTTATTCATTCTGTTCTTCTGATTTCTTAGGTAATCTGTTACTTACAGGGAACATGTGTATTCCATCATGGGTCTTTCCAAAAAGCTGCCCTACTTTACTTTTGCATAAAATTGTTGAACTCTTACACAAAATGTGTCAGCACTGATAACTAAAATCCTACAGAAAAAGCAGATTAGTTGTTGATTAGTTGACCATAATAAGCCAGCAGTATATTTGGGAGAAGCAGAAATCTAATGAGACATGGTTCTTTAGGGAAATATTCCTGCTGCATGCATAGATAACACCGCCTCTGTGGTGTCTTACTCATTTATAAAATAAATCCAGATACGCTGATGTCAGATGTTTCTTTTTTCCTCAAAGGAATATTCATCATATCCAAGCTTTCCTCAAAGCCAGTACTCACAGTATTACAGCTCCTCCTACAACTCTCCATATGTGTCTGCAAACAGCATCAGCCCCTCAGCCATCCCAACCTCCACTTACTCTCTTCAGGAGTCTTCCCACAATATCACCAGTCAGAGCACAGAATCGCTGTCTGGTAGGTGCATCTCTTCTGTTTTCAGTTTGTCAGTCTCAGTCACCTGTAGACATAAACACTGTAACCTTGTCATTAGAATGTACTAGAATGCATATTTTTACATGGATAAATCGGATTTCCTAGCGTTTAAGAGTTCTGCTTACATGGTGCAACACAGGGTTTTGGAAAGATTAGAACATCCACACTCTGTAAAACCATCTTGTGTCATTTTCATGAGTTTGTGAGATTTGATCTCTTCTAAAGGTAGTACAGAAAGATAAAACTATTACATACAGAACCCAGATCACGTCTGAGGGCTAATGAGGGTAGCACAGAATTCAAAGCCAACAGCAGTCCTCAGAAAAAAAAAAAGAGTTTCCTGATTGTCTGATGATTTTTTAGCCCTTGTCAGTGTTGTGGTTTATATTCCCCTCTTACAACAACATGTAATAAATGCTTTCATAAATAAGTAAGTACAAGAGAAAGTCCCCCTTTTAAAAATCAGCACAAATTGTTTGTCTGAGTTGGAAGTTCAAGATGAATTCCACACATAAAGGTTTCAAAATTTGTGGCTTCTCTTTGAGTGCTTAATTTTTAAACTCTCAAAGCTTAAATGGTTTATGGAATTACTGACAGATTATGATACTCAATGTGCTGTTCAAGTACAATCTTCGCATATCACTTGCCTACTAAAGTTTTCATTGGCATGCAATAACATTTATATAAAACACCACATAATTTGTGGATGATCACAGTCTACGCCCATTGCAGGTCTGCTGACTTATGAAACAAATCTGAACATCTGTGGTTGCTCTAAAAGAAAAATAAACTAATATTGTTTTTTAAAAAGAAGTGATCGCAGATTGCTCTAAAAGCAGTTGAAGGATTTTCTGTTCTAGATCTTATCTTAGCCTTTTTGAGAAAGGGTGATTTCAGAAAGGCTTGTTAGGCACAATCTAAGCTTCTCTGAAGAAGAATACGATTATTCCAGGAAGCTGGAGAGGCCACAACTTAGCAAGGTGAAAAGAAAAATATGTTGGAAAAGGATTTGTAATGTAAGGTAAGTGAAATCCGGACAGGTTTGTGAAACTCAAGCCAATCAAAACAGATACTTTATACAAGGGAAGTTCACCTTTGACTGTCTTTTCTCAAGTGCTATCCTCTGTGAAACGGAATATGTCTAAAGAGACTAGTTCTGTATTTTTAAACAAAAATTCATGTTGAAAGTGTATTTTTAATCATAAACATTCATCAAATTTAAAACTAAAACCAATTTTTTTTTTAGAAGTTGAGTTGGTTTTGGTGTCCTTTTCCATTGCTTTCTAATTCGGGGGGGGAATAAAATTCAAAAAGGTATTTTTTTTCAATGAAAAATGTGATAAGGTTTTTGAAGTGACACATCCATTTTAAAATTTTATTCATACAGTCTTGGTGATTTTTGAAATTGTTTTAGCAAATCTGACGAGTTAAAAGTTACTTCTCTAAAAATGTCAGCTGTTGACGTGAAATGAGTAAGATTTTCTGGTGTTTTCAGAATGCTTCTGGTGGTCTCCATTAAGAGTTTTCATGCTCTAATTATAATGATACAGTGCAGAATTTAAGTTTACAATGGATATTTTTTTTTTCTTATAATAGGGGAATATTCAACAACACCAGCAAAAGATGTAGAAACAGACAGACATCACAGAGGGTCGGATGGCAAGGTACGAGCCCGGTCAAAAAGAAGCAACGATCCTTCCCCTACTGCTGACAGTGAGATTGAGGTAATAACTTTAATTTACATTCCCTTAGTAAAGCCAGCAAAAATAATCAGTCACATCTATTAGCAAATCCCACCATCAGACTAGTGAGTAGTGAGAACCAGAATAAAATGAGTAATACAACTGGAGCCTACATACATCGGAAGTCAAAATAATTCTTCAGTGTCTATATTATCAGGATCTCAAGCTATTCTTCAGATGTTCTTTGATTTTTTCCTTTAGGCTTTTTAGAAGTCTGCTGATTTGTTCCCCTGACTTGATGTGCAACAGGGGATTTCAATAGTTGTTAGCAGAGCAGACGCTCAGGATGACCAGCACACAGAGTTCCAAAATTCCCCATGTTTCATTTTGCCTGCTTTCACAAAGCATCTACAGTCAGTGCTCCAAATAAGTTTGTGATCTTAAAAAGCTCTATTCCAACAGGACATATTTCCTGACTGAACGAATTCTTGCAGTTGCTTAATATGTAACTATATTTCTTTTTTCCACCCCATCTGTCATCACAGCGTGTGTTTGTGTGGGATTTGGATGAGACGATAATTATTTTTCACTCCTTACTCACGGGAACCTTTGCATCCAGATATGGGAAGGTAAAATTTAATTCTTTTAGCATTACTGCTTGTCCAGCCAACTTGTGTCGGGAACTGTGGGGGCAGCTAATGAGACAGCTTTGCAAGCAGATGCTGCTGATTTTATTCAGACATATTTGTATAAATATGTCCTGTGGTATTTCCTTCTAACATGCGAAAATTTAATTTACCTCCCTTTCATGTTGCAAGTAGCCCCTTGTTTTTCAAAGGCTTGTATTGTTCAGCTGCTGCTAGGTGGGACATCAGGATGTTCTTTCAATGTCTGTCTTCTGCAAGAAAGAGTCTATCTAGCAGCCAGACAACATTAACTCTCATTTGAATGAGGTAACACATTTTTTATTAGACCATATGAATTTCAGACAACTTTGTAAGAGAGATTTTGTGTTTGTCAGTCTAGTCTGCCATGAAGAATACTGGCTCTGCTTCCTTACTGAAGCTCACAGTTTTAAGGGGATTTAGGAACCCTATCTTTAGCTATCAATTCTTTAGATACCCCCTTTGAAATGCAGGCAATTCCTTTTTTTTTTTTTTTTTTTTTTTGAGGTAACTGTGGCTGAACAGACTGAACTTGGCTGCTAAGGAGAAAATGCTGGCTCTTGGATTTAGTACCAGGTGCTTCAATTTCTTCTTAAGGCAGCTTTTTATGATAAACACTTAAGTCACTTTGAATTACAGAATATCAAACACTTTTAAATGGGTAGAAAAAAAGACAATATCATTACCTAATTAAAGGTGGATGACCTAGTTGGCAGCTGTTTCCACACATGGCTTTGAACAGTCAGCTTCATCAGGAGACTGGAAAATAACCCAGCATCTCTCTAGAAAGCAGAAATATGATTTGACATCATTTCATGGCTTTACCAGCTGTACTTGTTTTACGATTGTTATAACAAGCTGAATGTGTAATTAGTAAGATAGATTTATTGTTCGCTGTTAGATGTGCACAGTTGTAAAGGATATAAAATGGTGTTTGTGGTGTGGAAGTCTACTGCAGCACTTGGAATGCTGCTAACACTTCTAACAGCACCCTCTGAAAACCAAGCACGTGTTTCCAAGCAGGGATTTATTCAGACCCATGTTGTACAAGGTAATTGAAGCAGTTACTTTTTCCCGGACGTAATGAAGGAGGTATACTTGTGTAAGCTCAAACCTTCTGCTTGCAAAAAACAGAAAGAATTAGGCAGGATCAGGAAACATAAACTTATGCCGTGTAGATCTGCTATGTGATCACGCTTTGCATTGGATAGGGGCTGCAGTATACATATGGAGAATTCCCTTAATGGGCTGACTTTGTCCTAGCATAAAACCTCCGAAGCAGATGCCTTCATCTGCTGCCTCCTGCACAAGTTTAGAGGGTACACAGTTGGGATCTGCTGCATGGGGACAGGAGATGGTGGACCAAGCGTGTGATGGACCCATGGAGGTGTACTTGCCCCTGCAGTACCTGCGAGCTCACTGATGTGCTGCCACAAAGGCAGGAGCTGCCATCCCTAGAGGAGCTGGCGTGGGGATGAAGTGGGGTCAGGGAGTGGAGCCAGAAAGGATTTATCAAAAGCAGTCTCCACAAGCTGTTTCTGTCAGCCATGAGAACCATTTCCTTTATACAAATGTAAAGAATGATACAAACAGGATTTTTTTTTTTAAGTAATTAATCACCTTTTCTATGAAGTTACAAGAGGCTCTTTGAGAAACTTCTCTAGAAGGATTTTTTTTTTTTGGTAGTTCTTCATTTGTTTCATCAGCATTAAATTCCTCAGGGCTTTCCTATAAGGGAAATGGTTGTGTTATAAAAGTATTATAGGCTAACAGCTTGATCCAAAGACAACCGGAGGCTTTGGTGGGCTTTGAAACAGACCTTAAACCAAGAGGGAAATACAGCACACTCTGACAGGCTGTCCTGGGAACCATTAAATAGTAACACAATTCAAAAATGTTTAATTGAGCTGAACTATCGAGTACAAGTGAAGCAGTGAGCAAGAGGTTGATAGAGTTTCAGAATCTCTTACTTGAGAAATGTAGGAAGTGTTAATTTCAAATTAAGTATCAAGACTAAAAATCTCAGGCTTTGTCCATAATTCATTATAAAACGTTCATATGCCTGTAACTGGACAGGCACATGCTTTGAATTAAATCTCACACATGGAGGTCTTGGTTCTGTATGTCTTCCTCCAAAAGTGTCAGTTTATATGATCTTCACCATTCCCCTGACCAACATTAATGCAACAGTATCATCCTGTCTGTTGCATTGGTAGAGCTGCTGTGCAGGCACTCAAAGAATTAGTCTATAACGTCAATAAAGCTGAAGAATAGCACCTCTTTCTGGGATGATTTATCTGGGAGTAGGGGAGGAGGAACATCAACCATAGCTTCAGAGATTTGGATCTAAACTCCTATATTCTTTAGCTACAAAATCTCAAATGGTTCTGTTTAATGCCCCTTGGTGATGGCAGCAATAAGGAACTGTCCAGAAACCTCTTGATTTGGGGAAAAGTGAAGAAATCACAAAAAAGATTATCAGTTGTAGTCATATTATTAATCATTAATGCCTCAATGTACGTTTTCTGACATAATTTCATGGGAAATGTCTTTGTTTGGTTTCTGAGAGGAATCTCTATGGTCTTTGCCATAGGTATGGGCTCCTCAGAGCATGGACAGTTCATCTCAGGTGTTCAGAAAATAATTTGCTTACATCACTGATAGAAGTTAAACCACCAATGGAAGCATGAATGAATAGGCCAGCCTATGTTACTCCTTTTTTGTCTCCTCTACCCAAACTCTTTACTCTATCCCATGGATTACAGTCGTCAGACATTTGGTCTTAATGTTTTCCCCAGACGGTCACTTCAGTATAACCTTTATAGTGGCAGTCAGAGTGGCCTGCAGCTTCACATCTCCCTCTGCTTTCTGCCCATGGTTGAATGGATGCATACTTGCACAAACAGACGGAGTCACGGTCTAAGTGATTGGGGCAGCAAAGCTGTCAAACCCAAGGAAATCTCTCCACCCTTTGGTTTCTCAGCAGGAGGCCCTCTGACAAGAAAAGGTAAAAAAAAAGTTCCATAGGCAGTTAACCCTGGATATTATGTTCAGGAGAGTTTAGAAACCTGTTTTGCAGGCTTGTGATCACTGTATGGGTGTAGGAATATTTACCGTGTGCCTAGAGACCATAACAGATGTAGACCATCATTATAGCTTAATGTACTGTCCACCCAGTTCTTTTAATCCCTTCAGGCATGTATAATAGAGCTCCCAATCAACAGGAGGTGGGCTGTAGTCTTTACTGTGTCTGCAAGGATCTGCCCACCAAATCACTGACAAAACATAATGGGAAAAAAGAGTCAAAATCTATAACAGTGATGCTGGCGTTTCACATGAGTTCGGTAAAAGTCAAGGGGCTTTGTGCATTTGTTTGAAGCAGCTAAGCAAAGAACAGACAGACTTTCTGGTGGTATTAATTCAGACACAATAAAAAGAGATTGCATGTACTCCCTTGCCAAAAAGAAAATCATGGGTCTATTCCCCTTGCCCTGACTAAGATTTGCTTGTTCCATAATCTGTGCTGTCAGAGCATTAAAGAAAAGAAATCTACATCTCTTTCAGCCTGAGAAATGTTAAGTATTATATTGCAGATTCATTCATATGCTTTTCAGAGGACTAGTATCAAAGAAAAAGGGGGCCCTGGGTGTGTTGTTTTCCCTAGCTGAGGGGTAGATGTGAAGCTAATACCTTTCCTTAGTGAGAATTCTTGTTCTGTGTTGGTACACTCCTTGGGATTTTAGTGTCAAAATTAATTGTGAGTAAAGTAAAATCTGGAGTTAAAATTGATCTTTATGTGCAAGTTACTCTGAAATTCTGGAACCAAATGGAAAGGATTTATTTTAGCACTGACTTAAAGAATTGAATACATAGAACAGTCTAAATTCTTGAGTTGTGTTGGACCTTTATCAGTACTCTGACCATGTCTGCTGATACCTGGGAGTTACAATCTATAAAATTCCCTGTAAGATGCATAGCAGTTTCTGAGATTGTTCAGCATCTTCAATTGGCTTGAATTGAGAAAAAACATACTGCAAAAAATAACAAAGCACATTATGTCACAGATTTTAGTTCACCTTTGCTGAAAGGTGTTTAGATTGCCTGTATTACACCATGTCCCAGAGCCTGTACTGTAAGGTTGTTTTGCCTGGAGTGGCCACTGCGGCTGCTTTCATTGGGTACTCGCAGTTTGTCTTGTAGTCACTTGATTGGTACAGAGGTTTGGTTGATGTAGATATGATGGCCATATTTTTTTATTGCTTTTGCATTTCAGCAGTGGCAACCTAAGATGAGCTGTGAGCAGACAGGTATCAGTGAGATAGAAGCAGGACATGCACTCAAGTTCCCAGCCTGTGCGAACATGGGCTCTGCCTCTCTGCTGAGGAACTGGCAGAGGCACAGGTATGTGAAGGACTAGGAGAGTGTCCTCCAACAACAGCCAGGCCTCGAGACCTTTTAGACAGAGCAGCTAAAGTCGCTGCTTGACCCAGTTGAGGTAAAGATGATTTTCTAGCATTTCAAGCTGCTGTGTGTTGGCTGTCTGTGAACTGGACTATGTTGTTCTCACCAGAAATGATGGTTTGGGTCTAAGAAACTTCATTGCTCAAAAGTTTCACCAGCAGTTACATATTCCTACAAAAAGTTTTCCTTAAAGTGAATTAGGATTTCCAATTAAAAGAAAAAAAAAAGGTCATTGAAAAGTTCCTGCTTGGATCTACTCGAGATCCCTGTAAAACCCTAGGGTTGACTTTTTTTTTCTTCTTTTATTCCTGTTCTTATTGAATGCTTCAAGCAGTTTGTGCTTTTTCCCTCTTGTTCTCTCACAGGACCCTAAAGCCAGGACCTGATTGAAACACCATAGGGATTTAATCAAATCTGATGGTGATTCATGCTTCTAATGGCTGAATCTGTCCTTTACTACTTTACAAACTGAGAAGGAATAAAACCCCATTTTATTGCTCGGC